CGTTTGCCTGGACTTTTCCACCATAAGAGAAGGAATTGCTGACGAAGGCGACCACAATAGCAAGCATACATGTACATATTCACCTTTACGTATAAATACACTCCTCGTGTGTGAGGTTGGAAACGAGGACGGCATCGAAAGCCCGCGACCTCCCGTCTGTCCGTGCACGGCTGTTTCTACTACTTCCCCTGGACTCCGTCATTTTAATAACAGTTTTCATGTATATATGTATACTTTCGATTCGATATAGTCGCAAGTAAATCGACTCCCGTCCATAAACGGGGAAACAGATGCTCAGGAAATAGGTATATCCTCCTTTTATGCGCGGTATACATATATACGTATATTACCCCTGTATGAGCGTATATTGCGCGGCAGCTCCGTTTGATCGGGTAAAAAGCGTCGCCTGTCCTTTCCCCCGTTCAAATCCTCAGTCTATACTTGATGCGAGAAAGAGAGCGGGAGACTTTGTACATATAATACCCGTGTATCCGTGGTCAAAGGAGCCAAGTACAATGCCGTCCCTGCATCTTGGAGCCGGCAAAATGAATTTACGCGCACAGAAGCATGGCCCAGGGCTCGCTTTGATGTTGCCATTCGATATTCCATCTATAGCCCCGTCTCTGTATACGCTATGCTATTTTCCCTGGATAAGGGTCCACATCTTCCTCCTCCTTCGTTGAGCAACGCCATATTGCTGTACCGAGGTATCATTTAGTTGTAACAAAATATATATGTACTTTTTCATTTTACTGGACAAACTCGTGCATAAATGTACATAATTAGGCTTGTACGATACCTACTTCGAGACGACACGACACAGACGACCTGCCAAAGACTCGTCTCGAAGTCTCGAAAAAATCCCGAGACCTTCGAGAGTCTCAAAAGTCTCCAAGAAAATTTTCGAGACCCTCGAGACTTTATTTTGACGTTTTCGGAGTTGTTGAGGTGTTAAAAAGATCTACACTTTATTCGTAAAAGCTCTTACGACGCAGATGGGGGGTTGAAAAGACTACACGTGTGTTTTTTCGAGACTTGGAGACGAGACTTTTGATAAAATTTCAAGACCGAGACTCGGAGAAATTTCGAGACATCTCGTTGAATTATTCGTGAACACTCACATGCCTAATATACCTATATCGGCAGGGGGTGGGGAAAGAGGCGAAGGGAGCAGATATTGTGAATCGTCTCGACTGACGAGCGGCAACGTCCATACACACACGCGCGCGCGCGCGATAATGCACGGACAGCGCGATACGTGAGCTGGATTTCCCAAACGGCAAGCCTTCACCCCTCTCTGGCACGTATATACATATATATCCTACGCACGTTCGACTGGGCAAACAACGTGTGTGTACTGTAGCTGTTCTTTTATTTTCTTTGTCTCTTTGCTTCCACTCCCGAATCTGTTGAGCTCGTGGATGGACCACGAGTGAAAGGAGGAGGGGAAAAGGCATCCGTGGGGACTCGGGGGGACCACGACTCGATCATCCCGGTTATAACAAGCACGACTGGACAAACTCCCTGCCACGCTCGGCTGATGCATGGGAAAAATTGGTTTTCATGTCTCTATTTTTTCCTCCCACTCCCTCCTATATAATAAATAGAAAAACTCCCCCTGCTTGGACCGAAAAAAGAAAAAAGATCCCTCGGTCATTCCCAGTTCAATCAAGTAGGTTTGATCGAACTCCTCCTCCCCTCCCGCGATCCCTCCGTAGGTTGGCAGCATTCCACGAGAGACGAGGGGACGTGATTGTGGCACTAGCCTAATTACGTGTCTGCTCGTTAGCCCTCGTGAGGACGAAGCTCCCTTTCTCGCGTTGGCTGCACCGCAGGTGTCTATCTTTTCGAGCTATGCCCATTCGCGAGTTTGAATTCGTAAATCTGCATGACCCATCCTACCCCTATTCCCCGTATGCTGTTGTATACAGTGGAGCGCATGATTTATCGACAAGATTTTTCTCGAAGATCTCCGGTGCGTTCGTTCACGGGGAGAAAAGAGCCTTTGCCAGCACGAGTGTATGGCATTTTGCATCCGTCGGACGGATGAAGGCGAACGGGGCTCTGACGGAGGATCGCGACGAACTATGGCCTTTTAGTTCCTTTCTTTCGCTCGAATCCGCTTTTCCTCGTTCCTCGGCTTCCTTTTTTTACTCCGCGCGCGTGCGTTTGTCACAACAGAATAGAAAATCCCGGCCGATCGGGCGCGAAAAGCGTATCGGCTTTCCGAGCGTTTAACACGCACAGAGTCTCTCTCTATCTCGTTCGAGTGCTTTAATCGCCCATTCGATTTTACCGGTGACGGGGCTATGCAGTTGATTAAAACGAGTTTCACGCTCTCGATCAAAAACGAAGCTTTTTTCGCTCTCCAACCGATTAGTGCAAAAAGGTAGGCTTGCACGGTGTTTTTACGAGTCGCGAAAGAAATTTTGAAAAAAAAAAAAAAAGTGAGGAGAAACAAAACTCGGGAGCTCTCGAGTCACACGGGGTGAGAACGTCTGGTTTATATTGTTACCGATTTGGAGGTTGACGCCACCTGCTGTATACATATATGTAGGCGACACCGAGGACGTTATCGTGCAGCCGTAAAGTACCCGGACGGGAATTTAACTCAACTATCGCGTGACGTTGACACGGTTCCTCCTATTTTTTCTCTCTCTCTTTATGATGCATGGCTCAGTTTTTTTTTTGTGGCGGGTTCAATTTGCCGGTTTTACGTGCATTTCGTCGCGTTTATCCGTGAAATGTTCGTACAAAGTGAGGGGCAATAATGTTTACTTCGCACCGGCGACCGAGTTATCGACGTGTCCATTTTGTTCGGGCATATATACCTATCTAAAACAGAGCAACGTTGCGAACAAAAGAAAAAGCCAGCAGTGTGACACAAAAAATGTACTCCGAGAGGCTTCCCCCGAAAAATATTTATCCTCGCAGGCACGCCTTTCCGCCACAGTTCTCTCCTCAGCCTCTGCCGCGGTTCATCCTCTCCCCCCCCCGCGACGTGAAAATGTCCACTGACCTACTTCCTGTTTCTCTAGCTGTACCCACTCATTCGTGCCGCCAGAGCTTGCAAGTACGTGGAGCTTTTCCCCAAGGAAATGGGATAGACGATGCACACAACTTAGTTCCCGCCGAGTATTGTGATTTCTATCCATGTATGGGTTTGTGCAATACCACTTTTTCCGAGTCAGCTATTTTTTGTTTCACTCCAACTTGTCAAGAGTGTTTTCATTAAAAAAAAAAAAAAAAAAGAGCACACCTGCACAAATCTCGCCCGTCTCAAGTGGAAAGCGTTTAAAATATTAATCACCAAATCCTCGCTCCCTCAATCCCCGAAACGGATAATTAGAGGCCGCATAAACGATTCAGCGGCTCCTAACTTTAACAATTCAAGCGTTGTTTGATACCCTTTACGGAGCGTCAGCTTTTTTTTCTTTTTCTTTTCATCCTTTATCGCGCGCGTTTGGCGTCGCGAAAATATATATACTAACGACCTCTCGCGTTACATTAGAGACAGAGCGAGGGGGGGGGGGCGCGTTTTCTTCCAGAGTGATGAAAGAGAGGCGCCGTAAATTCTTAACGCTCGAGCGGCATATTTCCCTCGGCCGAGTTCCTTGAGCGCGCGGCGACGAGCGAAGAGAGGGAGAGACGGTAATACATTATCATGGTAATAAACTGGTGCTGCTGCGAGCAACTGGAGGATCTCGCGATATACACACAGGGGGGGGGGGACTACAGGATTTTTCTGTTCTGGGATATAGTTACTATTTGACGACGAATATCGAAGCATCAGTTGTGTGTGACATATATATACACGTGTGTATACGCGGTGGGAGCGGAGATGCATTAGGGCGACCGAGGCGTGAACGCGAGGTGACGTCAGGCCCGTTGAATTGCCTCCAGGTAAAACGAAGGGAGAAAAAAAAAATCGCACCCCGCGTTGTAGCGCAGAAATAAGCTGCGTTGACGTCAGAGCAAACGTTGCCTGTTTTTTTCGCCGTAGCTGCGTGAATTTTTTTCAAATTCATCCAGCACGTCGGGGGGGCACTCTTCTTTACGAGCACACCCTTCTCTCGAGAGAGCGAGCACCTGTACGTAGGGGGCTCTCAATGTACTGTACGGCACATCCGAGTAAATTTATCAAAAAACGATCGAGCAGTGAGCTCGAGAGTGTTTAGAGTTTCCGCGTAAGCACGGGAGGAGATAATGGAAAATTCTCGGCAAGATTGATTGGGCTGATTAATCTCCAGGTTCCCCGAAGGATTTTCCGAGAAAACGCTCGGGATCGATGAAAAAATAGGGATACAAATAAACTGACAGACACGAGGTAAGTAAAAGTGGAGCGTGGCAAGAGACAGAGGATGGGCTAATTAATATTCAGTGGGACGCTTCTTCTAGCATCTTTTTTGTTGTTGGGTAAGTGTAGCGCGTGCTCGGGGTTACGTGGGGGTGTAGATGTACACATAGCCAAGGGTCGACGAGACAGTGAGGAACTTTCGAGCGGCTAACGAGACGAGTCGCTCCTTGGCTTTCTTGCATCTTTATATATACGTATGGATTAATTATCTCGTTACTTTACTCCAGGCATTTTTTGCTTTTTTCTTGTATGCAAGTCTCTGTTGCTTAAAAAAAAAAAAAAAAAAAAAAACGAGCTTGTTTCCCGCGTTTAATTAGACGCTGTAAAAAGTTGGATTGGTGTAACGCTAGACAGGTGTTGTTATTAGTACACTATCTCCAGGAGGGGTCGACGGGGACCCGCTTTTTATGTCACAAGTTACCGGTCACACCGAGTTTCAAGGGTACAACTTTCTCGGTCTCGCGTCCCGTGTACGATACTTCACGGTATGAATAAATCATTCGCTCCCAGTGGTAAGGACCGCTTGGATCTTGCACGCGGTGAAAGTGAAATATTATCGATGCCTGGTTTTTCCGCCGAGTAGACACCCCCATTGCCAAATAGGTGAGATTTGTCTGTTGGGCTTCGTGTAGTGAATACTCACCCCATCTGGATGATACTTGGCCGCTTGGTCTCCCGGTGCCGAGCAAAACTCCTCCAGCACGTCCTGCAGCTTCTTCGATGAATCTGTGACATTTCAAACGGACCATTTTATAGTTTTTTTTTTTCCAAGAGATAAGTATTAATGTACAATTACTGTGTGATGTTTCTTTTTTCCAAACAATTCGACGTTTCATGCAATTGAAGTGTGACGTTAAAATTTATCTTTCACCAATGTCGTACAGAAATATCAATGCAGGTGTTCGGACATATAGTAGAAAAAATGTCATTTGTTTATTTATTTATTGCCAATTGACTGTTTCTTTTAACTACTCGACTCGTATCATAAGAGTAACAATTTTAGTCGCACTTTTTCTAAACAAAAGTCGGGCTTCCAAGTTTACAAGAGACCGGGGTCACGGTAAATAAAAGCTGCAAACAGGACGAAGGCAAAAGCTCCGTACAGTCTCGGAAAAACGAGTTTTACAAAGACAAAGAGAGAAAAAGTAAAAACTTGCCGTCTGTGGCGGTGTAATTTCTACCGCTCGCGCGCTCCTCTAATTTTCCCGCAATTTTCCGCCCACGGAGCTACTCATCCTCATCCACACTCGAGTCGAGCGGAGGGGAAAAAATTCGAGCGACAACGGGGGACTCGCGCCCTCCGGAGAAACGAGGAGAGGCTTATTGGATTTTCGGGAACGTGTATTAAACCCTCTGTGCCGCTCGGTTTTATAGGTCACGCGAAAGCCCTCCCCCGGGGCACGGGGGGGAAGGGTGCGTTCACGCGATTGATACCGGTTATGAAAACTAGGGTCTATCGTCGCCTAAACTGGCGTGCAGATTTGAAAATTCAAGATTTTTCAATATAAGTAGTAATACGCGATTTTCGTCAGACAACCTTGACTTTTTTCCCCCTGACGTACATGCGTATTTGTGCATACAACATATCGATTCAAGTAAATTAATAATGCACCGATAAACGTGGCATGGACCCGAAACAATGGAGTGGCTAGCCATAAGTTTCTCAATGTATCCAGAAACGGGCAACGAGCTTTTTTCGTAATCTTCGCCCACTTTCGTTTTCCGCGCCAAAACTTGGCAGTTTCCAGCCAGATCGACAAAAAGGCACCCCTCGAGATTCTCCTTCGCCCAACAATCTAAAATTAAATTTCTCCGCCGCCCCGGGGTTGTATTTGTTCTTCAATCAAAAAGCTCGAATCTCCTTTCATCCCGATAATTGCACAGTAGAAATGTTTTCTTGGGTAAAAGAGAATCCCTCCACTCGGGAGTACCTCTTCGGGCGCAAATTACAAGCTCCCAGCGCTGCACCAAAGAGCCACACTCGGGAAGGTGAGAGCGAAACAAATCCACTCGAGCTTTGACGCGGATCGTATACAGTAGAGAGAGAGAGAGAGGAGGAAGTGCATAAGCGCGACGCGCCTTTCGAAGCCAACTTGGTAGGGGCTGGATTGCGTGCAAGTTCGAGAGAGCTCACCGACCAAGTTTCCCCCATGGCGCCGATAATCGAGCCGATACCCCGCACCTGCGATCCTACATCCCTTCGTTAGCCCCACACAAGTGGGATATATAGCGACGCGGAGATCGAATGAGGACCCTCGATTCGCTTGGGACTGTGTTTTTCACCGGCTTTAATTTTATTTACGAGTATGGAAAAGTAGAAGACGAGTCACATCTAGATGAATAAATGAATTATTCAAGCATTCGAGTGGTTGTACAATCATTTGTGCGATAAAGTTGTCTTGAAGTAAGAAAAGTTCAACGAGATTAATTCGAGCACGGCGTACATATACCTACTGCATAAAGTAACTACTTGTAACTCGAAACTCAATGATAAAATTAAAATACTTGAATTACTGCTGCAGAGTGGGCACTTGTAAGTTGGGGTTGGGCGTAAATATTCATGAGAGCGCCTCGAGAGTTTGCTCAAATTTATCGGAATGATATACATTTTAATACCATTATCGAGTCGAGTGAGCTGTACGAGGTCTTGAATAATGAATTCGTCATGGCTAATGTTATTCGTCAGGTATGTAGTTGTGTACACTTTGGGCGTAATGAGCAAGAAGTAGCTCTATACTCACATGTTGCCAAATTCTGAAGCTGCTGGAACTCTGCCGGCGAGAGCTTTTCCCAGTGCAGGGTCATCCTTGCTTCCCTCGTTGCGACGGTTCCTCTGTCTCGGGAGATTTAACGGCTAGCCATTGGAGGCCGAGCTTTTCGTCACCTGTGGAAAAACAAAAAAGGACCAATAACGACACATCGACACCTGAAACAGATTTTTTTTTTGTGTGTATAGGTGTTTCACGCTTTGTCGGGTGAACCTAAGGGGGAAAAAAACAGAGCACAACCTTCCACTCCAGTTGGGCGAGAGAAATTTATTGTTTCCAGCAAAGGGCGCAACCTGTCGATGCCAGGGCCGATAAAATTCATCCTTCGATTTCGGCTGTCCGCTGTAAGGAATTTTCGGGGGCAGATGCGCGAAAAATGGAAATCCCTCGGAGCCGGGATTTACGTTGCATCGAGCGAAAAATGCCTGGTTCATAAATTCGACATTGCCTCCGCTCGCTTATCCAGTTACGAAATGCTATTTCGTTTTTTTTTGTTTTTTTTTTCGCGCTTTAATGACGTTGCCGGATACTTTTTGCATGAATTCTTCTTCCCATATACGATTTGTTGTAGGTATTGTTGCAGAAAATATATTCTTCTAAAGTGAAATGATCCGTTTATATACAGATTTGTATCATTTGGTAAAACATGGACGCATTTAGAAGTACCGTAATTGAGTACACCTTTGTACATATAAGTAGTATAATATAAATACTTTGACGAAAGTTTGAAAAGTGTTTAAAATATAAAACCATTCTACGGATTTTTAAACAACTGTAGAGAAAACTTTATCGAATAATTTACATTTTTTTTACTGGCATTATTTTTATTTTTTTATTTTCGTCACTACTCCCAATACAGTACTTGTTATTTAAAAGCTTTTTAAAATACTTTGACCATTTGTTTCTGAATTATTTTTTTTTTTTTAGATTGTAGCGCATCGTCTTTTTTTTCCAAACACTGTGACATAAGTAGTTGGAAAATAAAAAAAAAATTCTTTAGCAAAAAAAATGTATTTTAAAATGTAGTAATAAGTTCGTAGCATCCTCGAGCAGTTGGAGCAAAAAAAATACACTCAGCCAACACCTGCCCGATACTCGTAATACCAGATACTGCAAAAACTAATCAGCTCACTGGAACAGTGTACCTCGAAAAACACGGAAGCTCTTTCCCCTTTTAAAACCGCTCACGGACGTAAAAGCTTCATCCGCCTGTTCTGTCGCGCGTCGCGTTTTTATTAGCCTCGCTACCGCACACCTCCTCCTTCGTCTTCCTCACGGGTGGCATTTACTGTCGCGAATAAATAAACCGATCGATACGCACATAAGCAGCACCGGCTGCGCCAGCTATAATTAGCCGTTTATTGGCTCCAGCCCCGGGAGCTTGCGAACTCGCAAACTTCAATAACCAGGGATATTCTATTCTCGAGAAACTTTTTATTTATTTTGTTTTCCCCTCCATGTTCGAGCTTTAAAGTTGCTTCGTCATTTTTCTTTCTCATCGATTGGAGCAATGCTCGATCGTAGGACTAATTGCACACTGTTCGCATATACCGTACCAGCTTTTGAGGTGGCGAAAAAAAAGGGATGAACGAACCAAGGGTAGAGCTTGCAACGAATGATCAAACGCCTATTTGTAAGGTTTAGATGGACAATGGCGATAAACAACCAAATGACCGTACGAGCGGGCCTGACGAAGGTATAAACCGAAACGAGGCAGCTGGAAAACACGTGACGCAGAGAAGAAAGTCCACGTAGAGTCAGGAAGAAAGAAAGAGGTGTCCCCGGGGGTCGAGCTTTTTTCCCCCCTGTATCCGCAAAAATACGTAGGGATACGTGCAGAGGAGCGCTTATTTTCCGCTCGGCGCGCCTCGAGCGTCATTCCCGCTCGTTCGTAGCTGTGTTTTTCTCCCTCGCGTTCGATTGTTTGCTTTAGAACATCCAACCGTGACGCTATCTTCCGCGTTAGCTTGACGCCTGGATGTGTGTGTGCGTGTGACCATGGAAAACGAGTTTTTTCCTCGCAACTCCGTGTAATTGAGGAGAGAGCTACTCATTCGTACACTGGAAGGACAAAAATTACCGCGCTAGGATGGTAAACTTTTGTATTATTTCGTTCTCTGTTTGCGTGGTGGAAGCTAATTTAAAAAAAAAATAAAGTTTTGATGTCATCAAAGGTAGAAAGTCCCGAAACATCAGAATAATACCAGTTGACCATGGTAAAGCAGTAACCTTTATTACTATTATTATTATTTTTTCCCTCGGTGCACCACACGTGCAAAGATAAGGGCGTTAGTGGTATGGACTTCCTCAAGACGGAAATTGGAGGGAGGAGGAGGTAAATTTATCGTCCTCTATCGAGTCTCTTTTCTACCGCCTTGTTTCCATCTCCCGGTACCATCTACACGACAACAAGGAGGGCCCGAGCACCTCGTACGTATGCGCGGAGCGTCCCAGATAACCTTAGACGCCGGAAAATTGTCGAATCGTTAGGAACTCATGAGTAACGCCCTCGTTCGATGAACGAGTGGAGATTAGAGCTGCAAAAAGTCAAGTTGACGTAGGTTGAATATTGTCTCGTCTGAGCTGTACACTTCAGGGAACCGGAAAAAGGAGCAAACGGAAAGAAAAGACGAGTCGGTTTGTGTGACTTTTCGAAAGTTCGAGAGCTTGCGCTACCATAAACGTAGCAGCGTATTTTTGGCGTATGATGGATCGGACAAAGTTTTTGTCATTTTTGACGATATTTGGTTACACGTGGAGCTAAACTTTGGGCCTTTTTAATCAGGAAGTCATATCCGTTTACACATAGCGAAGGAGAAGAAAAGTTGAAGGAACAGGAACGAGGGCTTTTGTTTTTCCATCAAGACCGAGCTCGGGCAGCTAATTGGCAAAGTTTTCGTAAATCCTTTTCGTACGAGCGTTTTTCTTTGTACTCCCAGCGTCACTGCAACGGATGAAGATCGAAAAATTCCCTCCCCACAGAATTTTCAAACTCCCCGAGTACACTCAAAGGAAAAGTATTTTCTCCAGAAAAGCATACTAACACGGAGTTCATATCGGCTTTTTCGGAGCACAGCTGTTGGAAAAAATTTTAATTAAAATCCATATGATCGGAATAAATTGAAAGCCAATGGAGAATTCCAAACCCTCCGCAAGGGTAGATAAAACACACGCACGCGAAATTATAACTCGCGGTTATTGAGAGGGAGAGAGCTTGCAATTCCAATTCTCCGTCTTTCCCGTCGTAAAATTAAAAGCCTCTACTCGGGAAGAACCATCCCATGTAGGATCCTGCCAACAGTGGGCATTAAGCTCGTCCCCGCGTCATCGTGGCGATACATCTCGGAAAAACGCATCCCCCGACCCCATTAACCCCCCGCCTCGGTCGGAACAAATCGCGGCGGAACTTTTATACCCGAGAGCCGCGGTCTCTTGGCTGCGGCTAATATCCGCGCGGAAGATAAAAGAGCTCCCGACGATCCCCGTTATATATCCGGTGCTCGAGCCAGGCGGATGAAATATAGCAGGGGGGGGGAGAGAAAAGTTAGACTCCTCGCTTTGAACGGCGTTTCTATGGTCCAGGGTGTGCATATTGTCGGGCCGATGGGTGCGAAAGTGGAGCGCGTCCATGCACTGTTGTCCTCTGTCTCGAGTTTAGCGATGATCGGCTCCATGTGGCACAAAAGCTACTGCTGATCGAGCACAACGAAAGCGTCGAGTGGCGCATTTTGTTCTTAGTCGACGGTCTACCGCTGAAACGGTATCTAGTCGGGAAACTGTGGACGTCGTTTCTCCGAGTTTGACGCGTCGGCTAATAATGGATGTAGTTTCCAAAGTTGTACGTTGAATATTTGATGTCTCCCCTCGAGTAACTTAATATTGAGCTAGGCGCTGTCGTATCCGACGTTTCGGACTCTTGACGCTTGTGCAACCTGCACAGGGACTGTTGTGGAACAGCCAAGTAGATCATGTCAACGAATGGTCAGACATACTAATGACAAACGTCACAGTTGTATTCTATGTGATCAATTTTTTCAAAATGAAGAATTTGTTAAAGGGTAACCAATTACCTGCAATTTCAAAATTTTATTTGGTCAGTTATTTTAAAGAGGATAAATTACGAGGTGTATTACTTTCTTTGGAAGCAAAGCTCTCGGTTATAGAGGTTCTTGCGACCCACAACTGAACCTTATTACTCGAGTAACTTGTGCAAAGGAGTTTCCCAAAGCGGAATGATTAAAAATTTATTACTTTCCACGACAAAATCTCGGCGTTTGAATGCAGTCACTATCGTCTTCTCCGACGACCACGTAATTAAATGTCGAGTCGCCTCGGGGCTGTTTCGGTATGTACATCCACACGTAACCAGATGATATTGTTTGTTAAAAATACGTGCCTCGCACTCGAATTCTACGTAAACGTGGAGGACCGGAGTATTGAATGCACTCACGAGTGGTGGTATTAAATGAGGTTACACATTGAAACCGAAAAGCCTTGCAACAGCTGCACAAGCTGGAGCGCAAAATTTGTCAACATTGTAGGGGAGATGGGCAAAATATTTTGACCACGTAGCACCGAGGCTCGTTCGTATACTCGCGAATCCACTCAATAAAGGCGCATTATGCAGCAAAGCGCAAATTCAATTTCACGCCTTTCGACGTGTGTCACATCTGCCCTCCCTGCATTATCTCTCTCTCTTCACCCTCCCCCCCCCCTGTAGCAATCAAAAATTGCAGGAAATCCAGCTGCGGTTGCCTGATGCCACTGATTTTTCATTTGCCCCGATATCGTGTGTCGAGGTTGGTCAGGCTAATATGCAGTGTTGCGGGAAAACCAGGGGCCATAGTTTTGACGGCCTGTCATTCGCATATTTTCGGGAATCACCATCTTTTTTAAACCCTTTTTTGACCCAACTTTTCAATACGTCGTTTACCACATGTACTTACCCAACGCTCTGGAAGAGGTCGGTGATCGTGCCTCTTCCTAAAGTGCCTCACCTGGTTGGACCATAGGACACTCGCCCGATCGCCAACCTGGCTCATTTGGCTAAGGTGTTCGATGTCTTGGTGGCGCGTAGAGTGTATAACTATCTGGAGGAGGGCTCTTTGTTGTCGCC